AACCAGGCAAGGTACAGCAGCAGGGACCAGAGCAGAGAGAAAGAGAAACATTTAGGAGGACGGACTGAAACAGAGCGTGGTTGCCGTAGTAACCGTTCCCCTCCCTCCATTCTTCCCTCCACCTCCATTCTCTCTCTCCCTCTCTCTCTCTCTCCTCCCTCCCTCCACCTCTGTGCTGGTGATGTTCGTGTCTCTTTTCTTTCCATCCGGTTTGTCCTCTCCTCTCCTGGAACGCGCTCCTCTCACACTGCCAGTGGACGAGGAGGAGGAGGAGGAGGAGATGAGGAGAAGCTGCTGTCTCTTCTCTCCCGTCTTTCTATCACTTTAGAAAAAGAAAAAAAAGAGAGAGAGAGAGAGAGAGAGAGAGAGAGAGAGAGAGAGAGAGAGAGCAGTCCAGACCAGAGCAACAACCTAAAGAAAGGACATACAGGATATACATACATGTAAAAGATACCCTACTCTTCTCCATTCTCCTTTTCAAGGAGGGCATTTTTCTTCCCTTTCCCCCCCTTTCCTTTTCTACCCCGAATTTTTTCCTCTGAGATCCCGGTTTTGTCAATTACAGCCCCTGAACTTCTCTGGGATTTCAGGTGAGGCACGCGTGTGTAGTGTGTGGTGCTTCTACGTCTTTTTTTGTTGCCTATCATGGCTCACGCGGCCTCTCAATTGAAGAAGAATCGGGGGGAAGTGGATGTGAATGCATTAGAGGACGAGAAGGAGAAGCGGAGGAAGAGCAGGAGAGCAGCGTCCCGGGAACAAAAGAGAAAGGTAACAGACGAGGGCTGGCTGGCTGGCTGGTGGCTTCATCTGCTCCGCTCAGCTAGCATCATTGGAGCGTGACTCTCTGTGTGTGTGTGTGTGTGTGCTACATCTCCCTCAGCTTGACTACCTAGATCAACTGGGCTTGGAGGTTGCCTTGTCACACATAAATACATTCATGTACATGTTCAGATCTGCGCATAATTCAAGACACATGTGTGGTCTCTGTTTTCTTTTGACACTAGTCCAATTTAAAGAGCATCTTTGACCTTGTGTACTGAATGTTTGAGAGTGAGTGTGAGTGTGTGTGTGTGATGGTGTTCCCCTATTTCTTCATGTGGGAGTCTGTGTGTTTATTGTTGGTATGCATGTGAGGTGTTAGCATAATCTTTGTGTTTTCATATATGTGATGGCTCAAAGTCAAAAATAATGTCACCTGTTTGTACATGATGATCTTATAGCTACCCGTCTCCAGATGATGCTTTTGTTTTTTGTTTTCCTGCCTCTTGACTCTTTGAACGTTTCCTAATATTGTCCGTCCGTTGAGTAAAACTACGTCACACACAGGGCTTCCTCAAATATTTGCACACCCTTCCTTGTTTTAAGGAGAATTGAGGTGGTCAGTTGTTAAAATCACCCTGTGCGGAGTGTGCTTTGTTAATCAGCGCTTCACAGGCGTAATTTAACCTTGTTGTGGGCTTCACACCAAATGAGATGAATGCTGGCAGTTGCAAAGAGTGTAAGGTCATGTTTGCGTGAGACAGAAAAAAAACCCTTTTTTTGTGGGTTCTTGCTTGTGTGTGTGTGTGTGTGTGTCTGCGTGCGCGTGTGCTTGGATGCACAGACAGACATGTATAATGCATACACGAGTGATTTATTGATGACAAAGCATTTCATATGATGGAGGAGGAACTGAAATGCACGTGGGTCTCCCTCCTCTTCCTCCTCTCTTACATGTCAGCTTGCGGAGAACCCTGTTTCACGGACCGGTGGGAGAAACTCACGCAAAAAAAAGTGGTATTTATGAAGATTATAGCAAATTATAAGCTACTGCTGATTGAAACAGGAACAAAAACAAAAGTTAACCGGTCGTCTGTCCACAGTTGGGCATTAAAATAAACTCCCCGCTGTCTGTTCTATTCTAGTGTTTAGAGAAAAGCATTCATTGCCTTCTGCGTATTGAATGTGTGGAGATTTGACCGCGAGAGATCTGTTCAATATCAGTGACATTTACTGATCTTTGCGCCCATGGGTGCCTGGTTTTGAATTATGCTGCTGGCAACGTTATTTGACCTCAGCACAAACAAGAGGCGAGAGCTATCGTGGCCTAATCTTTTCCAAACCCCCCCCCCCCCCCAAAAAAAAAGAAAAGATTCATAAGGTCAAGTGAATTTATGGATCTACTTCTCAGTCAAGTTTTAAACCTGTACACTCATAGTTGCACATTGCATTCTCCTTTTCTCTATGTTTGCGTGCATGTGTGTGCGAAAATGATACGTGTCTGAGATGCTGATCTGTACAGGAGGTTTACAGTCCTTATGAAGGGTCATGTTTCATAGAAGAGAACAGGAGACCGAGATGATGAGGGGAGAAGAGGGGAGAGTTGTATTGATTGGATTGTTCACAGCACCATCCGTGAGCATAATAAACTTTCCCTCCTCACTTCGGCCTGCATGCCCTGCATCCTTCCGTCTGTCCTCTCTGTGTGTCTTAGTCCCATCACCTTTAGGTTCTCTCTCTGTCCATTCACTCTCTTTGGATTTTTAGTTTCTATTATTAGCGCTGTTGTTTGGCTCATGCTAAATTTTAATGATGCACTGTCACAAAACAAAGTCAAACACTAAAGTTAATTTGTTTGTCAGTCGTTTACTTGAGGGATGTGCACTGTAGGCCATCGCTGTCAGTCACTCTCTCTCTCTCTCTCCAGCACACGTACAGATACAGTAGTGGTTTTATTCCTTGGCTTCCCTTGCACGTGCACTGTTTACCCCTGTTGGTGGCCTTCCAACTCTCACTGTGTCCACTATACAGTGGGAATAGACTGACTGAGAGTTGTCAGAGTCTATAGAGACACATGACGAAAGAGTCACACATGCAGAAAGACTATAAAAGAGACAAAAGGGCATTACAGTCACAGGTTACATTGCCAGTTTCCCTCCATTACTCAGCATCAAACCGTTTTATGTTTGTCTTGTAGCTAAACTGATATACGGTCTTCTTGGTGCACATTGTGCAACAAACTGCTTTGACTCACTCCTTTCACAGCTCTACAAACGCTATATTTAGATGGTGGAGCAGGTACAGAGAACACTTGTTAATGTAGAGTGGTGTGTCTTCCCATTCGTACATTTTCTTTCCAAGCAGGTGGATTCAGAGTTGATTTAAGTTGTATACATATCTAAAATGCCTTTCAGTAATGGGACTTAACTTGAAATACACTGCATGTTATTTTTTTATGCTTACTGTAGTTACTGTATGGCCAATAATCACCTTAAAGTTTGTTTTAATTAATAATTACTTTTGAATGTTGTTTAGTGTTAATTCATTCATAATAGCAGATTCCAGTCTTGTGTCTTGCGCATCAGTGGCTACGCTTTTGTTTTCGTCACAGATTGTGCCGATAAGGTCACCAGAAAATAGTATTTATATTGCTTTTATTTCCTGTCTTGTTTGGGTTAATATCAGAATAAACATGATATGCACCCCATTGAGACATCTGCTCACTCCGTTGTTCACTCATTCACTACTTCCTCACTAAACTCTGTATAGTGAGCAGTAAGGACTCTTTTTAATCATCTGTTTGTGCATCTGTAAAATGTTAGTAGAAAATGTTGTGCATGTCATGGACATCACTTTTTCTGCTCCATTGTGGGAATCTTTGAGGGCAGTATGTCGTGAACACATTCAGAATTCAGACCCTCAAATACAATGGCGGAGGGTTACACAGAAAGCAGGGAGTATGTTGTGGACAAAGTTATATTAACAACTATCAAAATGCAAAAATAGATGAACAAAGTGCATGTGATAGTTGGACATGAGGCCTGCGACTTTTATCAGACAGCACTCAGTTCAGTGTAGGCCTAATGGAGTCCAGGGTGTCAGGGGAGGGATCCCTGCTACCGATGGTTAACGACCTGGTGTTGTGTGTCTCCGTATTTACAGTGTGTATTGTTAGGAAAGCGGCACAGAGGGAGATAGTCCCTACCATTAGCACCCTGGGAATAGTGGGATGTTAACCTGAGAGAGAGAGAGAGAGAGAGAGAGATCTATCTATGAGTGTGTGTCTGTATGAATGCTGGAGTTCATTTTCATATGTTGTATGAGAGTTTCTGAGAGAGAGTCAGTGACAACTCAGTAGCCGCAGTGGTCATCTGAACGGGAAACCCCCATTACATTAATTCTCCAAGCTGCTTTACTTCTAATGACATTATCTAGAGCCAGGAGCCCCCGTTGGAATCCGAGAGAGAGAGAGAGAGAGAGAGAGAGAGAGAGAGAGAGAGAGAGAGAAAGAGAGAGCTAAGTAAAGCAAAGGTCCCAGTTTTACACACTGTTCCGGTACACAGCGTGTGCGTCGGTACAGTACCTATTGTTTCTCTCATAGGGCTTATATGGGTCATGTGCTAGCTTTTTTTTTCACAGGCTTATTCTGCAGTCAAATCAGTGGTTCCTCTTCCAAGGAAATTCTATGCCTGTTTCTCAGCTTTTTTTTGCACCAGTGTCTCTAATATTGTGCCTTTAATTGGATGCTTTAAAAAATGGTCATCCTTTATTATAAATTCCAAAGAGCTCATCAGTGGTCATCATTTGTTGCCATCACCACTGTTCATTAAAAGGTCTGAATCCGGATCACAGTGTAGTGAATCTAAAGCAAAGACTTAGAAATGACTGCTGGAAGGCGAACGGCAGTGTTGAAATTGGATTTCAGCCCTGTGCTGCCTTCAGAGCAAGCTCATGGCAACAGTGGGAAGGCAAGAGTCTGCTTGGCCCTAAGAGGAAAAGTAAACCGTGAGGGGAAAAGAGCCATCAGGCTGTAGGCAGGCGGCGAGAGAGGACACATAATATCAATATATATTTTAATAGATTCCCCTCCTTTATTTCTTTTCTTTCCGTCTCATTTCACTCCCTGATTTCTCTCCACTCACTTTCTGGTTTGGCTGAAACAAAGATGGCACGCGTGTCGCTTCACTCCTCCTTCCCCCCCATCCACTTCTTCACCTCCTCCCCTCCCCAGCAGCCCATAAAAGATGGAGGTTAATGAATTTGGTGCTCATGCATGCCTCAGCTAATTGCATTGGCATTGGGAACGCCTCCCAGTATTACAAAAATGTTTTCACCATCAAGATGGCCACCGGCTGGACGGCGCGAGCGTGACTTTGAGGAGGCTGCCAAGCTTCTGTTTGTGGAAATAGTGACAATTGAAGGAGCCTATATGGCTTTTCTTATTCACTCAGTTGGAATGTGATGTATGCAATTTAGTTTAGATTTTTCAACTAAGAAGCTGTTTCCTAGTTTGTAGTAAAGCTTTGACAAAGTTACAGAGAGATTTAAAACACATGAATCCTTTCTGCTCCCTTTTCTGAATGAGACATTTATCTGAAGTTACACTAAGTTGATGCTTCAGCAGTCGAATCAAGTTTCTTTCTCACATTTTAGTACAGAATTCACTCCTTTTGTTGCCATTACTGTAGCTCAGCACGGAAACGCTGTTTGTGGAAGCACAAGGAGTGCTTTTTAATACCAAATGGGCTGTAACTTTGGAAGATGTATCCGAGAAGATTTCAAATACAATTTTGCACTAAACGAGGACTGTGAAATTTGTTACTGCATTGGTAGGAAGGGATCTGTTAGGGGCTAGGATGAGTCCAGTCAATGTCATTTACAGTTGTTTGCACTTGATTAAACACAATTTCTGAAACTAGGACACTCTTTGTCAAAACTTTTCACACAAAAAAACAAAAACATATACACAGAATGCAAGATATCTTAAATCTCTTGCAAAAGATAAATAA